TTTTTCCAGCGGTTTTCTCTATCTCGTGTCACGCACAACGGACTAAGCGAAAGAGGGACTACTCGTAGTCTAGTTCAAGATAAGCTTATCAAGAAAGAGGTGAAATTTCATGACAGCGTCAAACAACAGAGGTTCAAGACCTTTGAAACCTTGTACTCTGTACCAGTTTCACTGGATAACAACAAGACGTTTGTCATAAAGGCAGACAGAGAACTCTTGAGATGTGTTGTGGTAACCTTACAATCTGGTAGTGACATCGATTTAGATGAACATTTGGAGAAAGAACATCTCTCCTATCTCACTTTCAATTGTCACGCCCAATGGTAGTCTGAGTTGACCATTAGTGAAGTTCTTTTTGAGCAAGATATTGCAAGAGAATGATTGTCAGAGCCAGTCCCCTATCTGCAAGGTAGCTCCCTATCCCCTATTCTTGCAGTCCTCTATCTGCAAGAATGAGGCATGTACTATTACCGACGCAATGGCGGCTATTCAATCTCTGGCCAATGCCTCTGCTGCAAAGACATTTGGAGAGTTGTGTGGCACGTTCAGTACGTATGTTACCTCCCACGTTTCTGATAAATGCACCAGAGTCGATGTAGTATCTGATCGCTATCTCCCAAATTCTATCAAAGGAGGAAATGAAGCATAAGCCCAAAGGAGGCTTGAGCAGGGGCACCAGAGGAATGTGTAGAGCAGCTGAGAACAGAGGATTGGAAACTAGAATGGGTTCATTGCCTTAGGCCAGTCTAGCCAATTTTCTTTCTACGGAAATGTTGCAAAGTTACAATGCACATCCTCGTGGTGAGGCTGGTTGTTAGCGGTGGGTTTAGCGAAATACTGAAGGTATGGTCATCGGATATGTCGAGGGAGGACTTTGAAAGGCTGGCTTCTAAACATGAGGAATGAGGCAGATACGAGACTTGTCCTCCATGCTAGGGATACAACTGCCAGGGGCTACAGTCAGGTTAACGCTTTGTGTCGTGACACAGTTGTCTTGCTTTTTGCACACAGGGAAGATCTTTACCAAGACACATGAATAATTTTTGGAACCTCTAAAAGAAATTTGTACATAAAAGTTCACAGGATCACATTGCAGGAGAAGAAAGCACTGCTACCGCTTCCTCTCACAACTGGGTGTGATACAATAAGCCACTTCGTCGGTATGCGGGAGCAAAAAGGGTATGGATCCTTCGACGGTCGCTCACCGGAGCTGCTTGAGCACCGCGGAGAAGAAAGCCGCCCTAAGGCTAACGTACTTACGTGCCGCAGGCAAGTGGTTCCGCAGTAAACTTTGACAATGTTATGACGCAATTTATCATCAATAAGAGGACAGACGCATAAAAAACTGACGTCAATTTG